TGTTCAGTCTGTTGAATACCAGGTAGTGTTCAATAACCTGAAACTGGATTTTATAAATAAAAGTTTGTCATTGGAATGTTTATTAGTCTTTCTAGTCATGCTAGTCTTTTATTTACTTTGATTTATAACTTTTAATGTACTTCTTACTACATGTATACCTGTTCCTGATGGTGCAGTAGAGTTTAGAACTTCAAACTTGAAGTAACATTGTTGGAGAACCAGTAACCACCTAACTTGAAGGTCACATTGGCAGAAAACCAGTAACCACTAAACTTGAAGGTCACATTGGTAGAACCAAGTTACCACCAAACTTGAAGGCCATACTGGTAGAGAACCAGTTACCATTAAACTTGAAGGTCACATTGGTAGAACCAAGTTACCACCAAACTTGAAGGTCATACTGGTTGAGAACCAGTTACCACTAAACTTGAAGTTCACTCTCTTGGAGAACCAGTTACCACCTAACTTGATGGTAACACTGGTGAAGAACCAATTACCAGGAAACTTGAAGGCCATTCTGGTGGAGTACCAGTTACCATGAAACTTAAAGACCATTCTGGTCGAGAACTAGTTACCACTAAACTTGAAGATCAAACTGGTAGATAACTAGTAGCCACCTAACTTGAAGGTCTCTCTGGTGAAGGACCAGTTACCAGTAAACTTGAAGGTCACAGCAGTAGAGAAATAGTTACCACTTAACTTGAAAGTCACACTGGTAAAGAACCAGTTACTACCTAACTTGAAGGTCACTCTGGTGGAGAACCACTTACCATCTAACTTGAAAGTCACACTGGAGAGAACCAGTTACCACCAAACTTGAAGGTCACACTGGTAGAGAACCAGTTACCACCAAACTTGAGGGTCATTCTGGTGGAGAACCACTTAACACCTAACTTAAAGGTCACACTAGTAGAGAACCAGTTACCACCTAACTTGAAGGCCATAATAAGGTGTGGATCCAGGATTTTGAAAAAGGGGGACCCCCACAATAAGCCAAGTTTGGAGTGGGGACATGTAAAAAGTCTTATGAATTAACCATATATGTAGCTCCATAAAGGGGGGCTGACAAGTTGCCACAAAACTTGAAGGTCACATTGGTGGTGAACCAGTTAACACTGTCTGACATTTTTGATAAAACAGATATATATACTACAATTATTAAAGAAAAGATGTGAATTTCTGAAGGTAACTGGAACTCAACCAGCAAAAGTCTAGAATGTTCGCATTAGTAACAATAATTTTGATGAAATTATTGTTTTTTTAAGCATGTTCTTTTATCATTATTTAGAATTAAGAGCTTTTTAGAGCTTTTTGAATCAGTTTTCTGTTTTTAGAATACAATCCTGATGCAAATATGCTGTAATCATTGAGTCTCCTAATAGGAATTATGTGTCATGAATAGATTTATACCAAATCTCATTTTCTATCATGAATACTTGTAATTGTTATTAGCTGACAAAGCATGACTGTCAAATGATTATCAGGAAAACACAGGAAACACAGGAAACACAATACATATCAAACAAATGCATATATGTGTGTTTTACATTTAATTTTTCCTTCTCTTTCATATAAAAAAAATCTGTCTGTTGGTATGGATTCTGTTTTTATAAGAATATTTCTAAATCTGCTTATCAGAGACCAATGATGTTGGATATGAATTCAGATGTTTAATCCCATACCCTTTTATGAGAAAGTGCTTTTCTACATGTTTTAGAACATGTACATCAGCTTAATTAGATAGCAGGTACTGTTTATCACTTGTTGCAAGGAAACATTTAATAACCTGCTGAACATTCCCTCATTTTCTTAATTTAAATTTTCTGCTCCCCTGTTCAACCCACTTTGCAGAACTTGCTTTCTTATTTAATTTGTTCTCTTCCTGAATATGCACACATATTTTGCTAATTAATTATCAAATTAGTCAGAAACTCATGATGGCATATCAAGGATATTTTAATATTGCAATTATAATTTGTTGGGCTATATTGGTCATTAATATTTGAACTACCGTGGTCATGCTTATATTTTTGTCTTATGGACTGTTTCTTAGCAACCCAGGATGATATTTCTTGTATATGTTCAGTAATGCTACCCCTTGTACAGTATTATACATCTCTATTAATAACAGTCTGGTCTCTATGACTGTCTTTTCATTTTTGAAGGATATTGTTTGAGTGTACGAGATCATTTCTCAGAAATTTTAACTAATACATAAGTAATACCATACATGTACATCATCAGTCAGTCACAGGATAATCCTTTATTTACTTCCAACATCCATGTATATATCATATGCATAATACAGTATACACATGATATATATAAGTAATCATTTAATGATAAAAAGTAAATACTAATTATATAACAGAGGATAACAATACCTCAACTATTCAGATTTAAGTGGTTTTATGCATAAGGATATTGATCATTAGATCAAAAGGCCACAAATATTTAATTTGTACAATTTTTATACGCTGTCACTTACTGTTACATATACAGGAATTAAATTAATGTATGAAAAGTAGGATGAATATTTTATATTTAATACCAGATATTAATCTTAATATATTAAAATATTAATACACATTTTTTTAAAGTTTATTGATACAAAAAAATGATTTATTAGTTGATTGATGAAAATGAATTTAGGATAACATCAATTCACAAAAAATGTTATTGATGGCCTAAGACAAGAAGAGTTTTAGTGGATCTTATTTTAAAGTTTCCAGAATTGAAGAATTTATAAAATTAAAACCTGGAAAAATGTCTTTAAGAAAAACAATTTCAGCAAAATTGAGGAAAAAAGTTCACCCAGTGTTCCTTGTAAGTATACTGTTAGATTACGAACAATTTAGAGATTGTTTAAGGGTGTCTCTTGGTTTTGATGTCTCTATATAGCCCTCATTTCTTCATCTTATTCATATTATATTTATGTTTTTTTATTGTTTCATTTTTTCCACAATGATATTATTATTATCTAGATAAAGATACAAATTTGTTAAAGTTTTCTTTCGTTATGAATTAATGTCTAGCACTGCTATAAGGAAATTTATTTTTAGTTTTATGGATTTTAAATTTTGTAAATTCAAGATAAGTGAAATATTTCCTCAAGCAAATCTAAACATAAATGGAAGATTTTAAAGGTATGTTGAAAAACCAAATCTTACTACATGTATAATTATATAGTTAAAACATAATAATAGTGACAGTATGCTTTTTTAAAATTATTTCTTGCCAATGCAGATGTATAATTTAATAAAATTATTTCTTGCCAATGCAGATGTATAATTTTATAAAATTATTTCTTGCCAATGCAGATGTATAATTTTATAAAATTATTTCTTGCCAATGCAGATGTATAATTTTATATGACTGAGGAAGCATTTGTTTATTTATGAACAACATAACCATATAGACTCCACTCATGCAGTCTATCAGAAAGATAAAAATGATTTGTTAGGACATGGTTGAGATTCCCTATGGATCATATACATGAATGTGTCTCGAAGCTCTCACAAGATATAAAACACATGATTTCTAGAGGCATCACAGAATTACAAACACATAGTAAACACATTCTGATATTTACATGGATGGCCTCTTCACTTGATTTAAAATGCAACAGGAATGGGTTAAATTGCAGTTTTAAAAATGTATCAGTGCAAAAAAAAAATGGAATAACACATATTTAAGAATATAAGGTTTAGACTTGGTTGAGTTGACAACTCTGTTACAGTATCAACTGTAGGCACATACAGTACTCAGATAGAACTTTTTCTTCCTGTGATGGATCCATGAGTATTTTGGAAGTATGTAATAATTGATGATACATGTATTGAAATAATTTTTATACAAGACTCTTTTAACCTGAAATGATCAACTCTAGTTTATTAAGCAAAAAAAAATAGGATTGAATAAATACTTAATAAACTTACACCTCTTTGTTTTGTAGATTTATTCACATCCCAGATTTTTATCTTTGAATTTTGTCATTTTCACTTTCACTCAAGAATTGTCGACACCTCTACTTTGTTAACAAGGAATGATTAAAAATTTTTTTAGAAAAATCATCTTCTTAACCATGTGTTTGCGGTCAAAATGGATTATTATTTCTAAACTATATTTTATATTCTAATACATGATTAATTCAATTTTCATTTGCATGGATACATTTTCTAGGTCTAAGCCTCATTAAAAATTTATGGTAGAAGGAAGGCCAATGGTCTGTTGAAAAATATGTCCATCAAACTTAAAAAATATGTTGTCAATGAATTATGTTATTATTTCCACATTCATCAATCAAGGATGAATAAATGGATCGAAGGATTCATTACATATAATTATTACATGCCTATCAGAACTAGTATAATGGCCAAAAAAATGCCCTTATCATATACCTTCTCCTTTGCTAGTTTTCAAAGTAAAAGTCCACAGGAAGACATGTCACCCTACCTAGACATATTATTCTGTCTTCAGTAAGACCAGTTTCTGCTCTTACACCTAAAAAGAGCATGCTTAGTGGAAAGGCAGCAAATAACAATTTTTAGGTCTTTGGTTTTACCTGACAGGTGATTGAACCCAAAACCTCCAGCACTTTATGCTAGCATGCTTCCACTAGACCACTTAGGGGCTACCTTCCACATACATGCAGCCACAACAACAGCAACAGCAACAAAGCTTTTGATTTTGAAATTTCTTGTTTTTTTTCAGTGAAAATCTCAACAACCATGTGTACAACCTTTTTCTAGTTTTGAACCAGTTTTTTATTTTTATTTTCTTATTTTCCTCATCTCATAGTTATTATCAGTGTATAATAAAGTATTATAAAGCTTGAATAAATCATCTGTTTAAAAACATCTAGCCTAAAGATATTTAGTTTATAAGCATCTTTTTTCCAGAAAAGGAATGTTCAATGATAGATGTTGTAATTGAAACATGTTTCAATAAACAAATATAAGTGAATCCATAGTGTATCAATGTTATCTTTTTTTTTCCAGAAAATTTTACCAATGGAGTCAGCAAAAGATATCTCAACAGGGAAAGATCAAGCAGATATTCAAAAATCAATGGAAAGTTTCGGAATAAAAGATGATCAAAAGGGTCACGAAGATGATGAAAACTATGTAAATGTGTCAAAAGACACTTTCCTACAGGATAGAAATTCTCCTGGTGTAAATTCAGATAGAGTGAAACCAATTGAAAACCCTTATATTATCTCCCTTGATATAGGAACAACTAGCTTAAGGAGCCACATATATGATAAAAATGGATGTATAAGAGGCTCTAGTAGTAAAAGAGTAAGTTACTACTATAGATTAACAGGCCATTAGTGATGTGTGTGGTTATTTGGGATCATGAAGTTTTGAATTTAATAGTCAAACTTTAATCTGAATCTCAAATTTAATAGTCTTTGATAATCTTTTTTCTTTTCAAGGGCTTAGTTCAAACTCCCTAAACCCCCCTGGCTGTTAACATATTCAGAGCAAACTGATTTGATTATAGCTGTTTTATCATATACTTTAGAACATCATGGGGTTTGTATTGTGTGAAGACTCATTGTGGTGATTTACATTATTAATAGAATTTGATGTAAAAAAAAAAGCAGTCAAATACAACATTAAGTAATGACAATAATCATGACTTGGGACAGGTACAAACATTTGCTCAGAAGTCAAACCTTATGTTTGTGTCTTTACAAAATTGAAAAAGTGAGTCTTAGACGTGCTTTTTTTGGTGGGGGTGGCAGATTCAACAATGTATTAGTATGTGATAAGTTCAGTTTAATGGGGACCCACTTTTGGTAGGTCAATGATATTTGGTATGCAGTTGTATTTATATGCACATCTCATTTCCATGGAGATTGTTTGGCCCGCCTCCTCAGTTATAGTCTCTTGACTTTGAAAATTTTGCTTAGTTTGCATGTTAAAGTTTGTGATAAGGTCAGTTTTAAGATGAACCACTAATGGTAAGTCAATGATATTTGGTATGCAGTTGAATAATCGTTTGCCAGTCTAATTTCTATGGAGATTATATTGCCCCGCTGCCCTCCATGGTTTATTGACCTTTAAACTTTTGCATGGTTTACTTGTTAAATATTGTGTTCAGGGCAATTTAATGGGAACCACTTATGATAAGCCAATGGTATTAGGTATACATTTGTATAGGATTGACATTTCTCATTTCCTCGAAGGTAAATGGCCTTGCACCTTCAGTCATGTTTGACATACTTTGGATGTCTTGCATAGTTTGCATGTTAAAGGGGCATTAGCTGTCAAATTCATGTTCACCGATTTGACCCAAATTCTCATATTTGATTTATAACATACTAAAACATATATCCAAATCATAAAAAGTCTAAAATAAACAGTATACAATGCATGGACTCGTTAATATGTATCAGCATTTCGTGTATATTTTAGTCTAGACACCATCTAATTAACCATTGAGATGACCTCCGAAGACTGCTGATGGCTATATAACCCTATATAAACATAAATATAGATATAAATAGATAGCAAACACATGCAATTGGATTTTTCTAGGTCTGTTTGATTTCATATTATAGGTTAAAAAAAATGTTAATCATCGTTTTTACCTGTATAAGAATGAGTTTTTATGGATCAAATCAGTCAACCAGATGGTTTACCTTTGTTTCACTTTCAATGTTGGCACTCTTTTCCTTTTAATAGCTGAACACGCCTAGTTTATGCATAACCCATCTCTAGCTAAGGGGTTAAATTGAAGGTCACATGAATACGGATTCAATGAGGTCAAATTATTCACTTGAATAATTCATCAGCGATGTATTTTAGCTTATTTTGAAAAAAAATGAACTAAATTGGCTGCTAAATGCGAATTATTATATCACTATTTCACTTATATTAATGATTGAAAAAAATCATTAATTTCCACATTTGTATTATACCATCAATGTTGCATAAAGGCAAGACAGATCTCTGTGTCAACAGTTTATTTTTTTTGTAACTTTTCAGATTGAATTACTACATCCAAAACCTGGTTGGTCAGAAATGGTTCCAGATGTTTTATATAAACAAGTTGTTTCCTGTATAACAGAGTCAATGAAAGGTAAATAATGGCTTAAGTTTTTTGTCCAGAAGACCACAAGGCCTCTCATTCGAATACACTATAACTGATTGCATATATAAAGAAAAAAAGCAAAAACAGAATAAAAAAAAATGTCCATAAGTGTAGGCCCAAAATAGGTACTTATAGGTGTAATACCACCAAATCATAGTACATGACATCCGGTTGCATACGAAAATAGGTTGAAAAAAAATATTCCCTTGAATTTGACAGTTGTAGGTAATTAATCCTACATTTCATTGCAGTAAAACATTTCTGGGTCATAGACATATATCTTGGGTATTTAAAAGCACCATTATTTTTTTATTTGGGGTTTCTATAGAATATTTTGGAAAATTGAGGTTACATGGTTACTAAAGCTTGTACACACGTTAATAAAAGTTGAAAATTTGATTGGTTAACTTCCAGTGATGGTTATTTTCTTATATGCAACTGTTATGTGAAATTTTTTCTATAGTACTGGACAGGATAAAACTTTACTCATGCCAAGTATTTTTTTATTTGAAACAAAGATAAATTCTGCACAATTTTTTTGAAAAGTGCAAATTTAACAAAGACTAATAGGGGAAAATCAATGGTGGTATTACACCTTATAGATATCATCAGTACAAAAACTATACTAGATAAGACTGTACTAGAATGGCTATTTATAACTATAAGTAAGTTCAACTGAATATTCTCCCTGGATATTTAGTAGTCAATGTAGCAGGGGGCACTTGATGGAATGCTGTGAAGTATACATCAAAAAGACAGCAACCCAATGATTAAAAAAAAAACAAAACTGAAAGATCTAAATTTAACACACAGTCAGGATTCTACTTCGTCAATATTATCTCCCCATTACGCCACCTAATTTTTAATATCGTAAAAATGGAAGCAAAAGTTCAAAAATATTTAAAAAAATTCTAATTAAATATTTTGTGGAAGGGCAGACTAAATATTTTCAGAGGTTGAAGAACAATTACCCTAGATAATATGCACAAAAAATGAAATTTTTTTGAAGTTATGCATTTTTAAGATCCACCAGAAAAGTTTGTCGTCAAGTACTTTTAGTAAAAATTTGTTATTCGAACACACCTACTCTTTTGTTATGACTCATTAGAAAGGTATTTCACTTGACCCATATATTTCACCTTTTAGTACGGTTAATTTTTAATATTATTGTATCAACCTACATCCTAAATATATGAAAATAATAGAATCTGAAACGAGATGATGTATCAAATATTTTTCTTTTATACGTTTTCAAGACAGAATAGTCAACTCAAACATGCCTGAACCTGAAAAGGTGTACTCAACTTTCACTTTTGATGAAATTATTGCCCATTTTGGGGATTTTTTCCAAAAAAACTGTCACCAGGGGCAGAGATGCAAATTGATGCTTTAAAAGGATAAATCGATTATCTTCCTTTGGAATTTTTTTTTTGCAGAATTTATGCTTATGCAGAAAAAAGATCCATGAGAATTTGCACCTACCGCAAACTACTGTTTTGTGAAAATTTGTCTATGATTTAAAAGTTTACAAATATCTGGAAGCTCAATTCAATAATTTAAGTAAAAACACATACATAACATGCATAAAATCCTAAATAAGCACATTTAATAAACTTTTAAAGCCAATAGAAACAGATATAAACAATTCAAATTTACCAACTTCGCCTTTTTTACCTTCTCTAACAAAGAGTTCCATTTCTTTTGTTTAATTTCAACTGGGTTTCCGCTTGCACAAGGTCTTCTACAATAGATTTCTAAAATTATGACAAGTTCAAAATTGTGGGTGAATTAAACAGTGATGAAAAGTTGTATCACTGGAAATTATACCTCTTCTGGTTATAGTTATATACAAATAATTGCATAAAATGTTCACATACTTCTGACACATGTTATTCTAGGACAAAATATGTGCATAGACTGTTTGATTTCTTTGCTGATTCTAGTCTGTAATTTGTTGATGTTATCTGGCATTTGTGTGGTTAAATGCTGATGCTTGGGGCCTTCATGAACTTGCACTGAGGTGTTAGATTTTGCTACATGTTAAAGATGATTAAAGCATTTTTGCTTTGCTTTATGATGTCAAGTGCATGTAGGGATTTTGTGTCATGATTTATTATGCATATCTCTTCATTTCACCTTAATAATTTATGGAAAAAAATTAAATAATCCTCTTCTGAATAATGACATATTTCTAAAACTTTCCAAAACCTTTCTTATTATATTATGACTTAATTAGTAGTTGCCAGTTATCATAAATTGTATTATTTAAATGGCTGGACATCAAGCCAGTTAGGGAACTTATAGATATATTGGGCTTGCTGTAACATCATTTATTATGTCATGTTTACAAGTTTAGTGTCACTATAATGAACATATTAGTTTCTTACTTACATAAAGCATTTTAACCATTTAACTAACTAGCCTGGTAAATATCCTCTTTGTAAGTTGTCATTATTTTTTTATTAATTCACAATACCGTAATTTTATTTGTTTCAGCTGCCAGTATCAAAGTGAACCAGGTTACATGTATGGGAATCACTACACAACGAAATACGTTTATTACATGGGACAGGTAGAAATCGTTACTTTCTTATGTTATACCCCACAACATGGTCATAGAAGGGATGTAAAGTGTTTTTCTATATTGATATATGGCTTGAATGAAATGAGGTGAAGTTAATACTCTAATGAGACTGCAACACAACAATAAAATAAGGACTCCTGAGACATCTAGAGGTCAACAAACTAGTGTCTTCAACAAAAGACAAGTGTCTATTCAATGTGACAAAGTGTAAATGTTCTTGTCCATAACACCTGTTTAGGCCAATAAAGGCAACCACAAACATATGCACTCGCCAATATTTAGTATTTTCAAGCAAGGAGAGTTTGTTACATGTACATAGAAGATTTGTTTATCAGTAGTATCATTGAAATGAAAGATATTTAAAATACAGTACAAAAAGCTTTTTTTTTAATGTGAACCTGACAGGTGAAACTTATGCATTTTATAGAACTTAATACAATTGACCTAATACTCCTTAGGAATGAGGAATAAAGCCCATATTAGTTTGTCCCATATCGACTCCTGTCCATCTTCACAATTTTCAGACAGCTCAGCTTCATTTTGGTTTTTAGCTCACCTTGCCCACAGGGCCAAGTGAGCTTTTCTCATCACTTGGCGTCCATCGTCCATCTTCTTCCGTCGTTGCGTTCTCATTAACTTTTACAAAAATCTTCTCCTCTGAAACTAATGAGACAGATTATACCAAACTTGGCCAGAAAACATAATTAGGGTATCTAGTTTAAACAAGGTGTACGATGACCCTGCCTGTCAACCAACATGGCCGACATGGCTAAAAATAGAACATATGGGTAAAATGCAGTTTTTGGCTTTTATCTCTGAAACTTAAGCATTTAGAGCAAATCTGACAATGGGTAAAAATGTTCATCAGGTGAAGATCTATCTGACCTGAAATTTTCAGACGAATCAGACAATCCCTTATTGGGTTGCTGCCCCTACTGCTGTCTACAAACAAGTCAACATGACCAAAATTGACAATTGACCCCTTAAGGAGTTATTGCCCTTTAAAGTCAATTTTTATAACAATTTTTCGTAAATTTTTGTAATCTTTTACAAAAATCTTCTCCTCTGAAACTACTGAGACAAATTTTACCAAACTTGGCCACAATCATCATTAGGATATTTAGTTTGAAAATTTTGTATGATGATCTCGCCTGCCAACCAATTTGGCAGACATGGCTAAAAATAGAACATAAGGGTACAATACAGTTTTTGGCTTATATCTCGGAAACTTAAGCATTAAGAGCAAATCTGACTTGGTAAAAATGTTCATCAGGTTTAGATCTATCTGCCCTTTAAATTTTCAGACAAATCAGACAAGCCCTTGTTTGGTTGCTGCCCTGAATTGGTAATTTTAAGGAAATTTTGCAGTCTTTGGTTATTTTGAATATTATTTTAGATAAGATAAATTTTCAACAGCAATAATGTTCAGCAAAGTAAAATCTACAAATAAGTTAACAATGATCAAAATTGTCAATTGACAAGTTATTGGAGTTATTGTCCTTATATAGTCATTTTCTGCAATTTTTTGGTAATTTTTGTAAACTTTTTTCAAAAATGTTCTGCTTTTAATTTAACAACTGGGCCAAATTAAACCAAACTTGGCCTCAATCATCATTAGGGTATTTAATACTATTTATTATGATTTTAACCTTATTAAACATGATTTCCAAAACCACATTAGATACAGGTGAGCGACACAGGCTCTTGAGAGCCTCTAGTTTTATGATGCCTTGTGCCTTTTTATACGACCGCAAAAAAATTTTTGTGGTCGTATATTGGTATGACGTTGGCGTCGTCGTCGTCGTCAGGCGTCGTCCGGCGTCGTCCGAAGACACATTGGTTTTCGCACTCTAACTTTAGTTTAAGTGAATGGATCTCTATGAAATTTTACCATAAGGTTCAATACCACAAAAGGAAGGTTGGGATTGATTTTGGGGGTTATGGTACCAACAGTTAAGGAATTAGGGGCCAAAAAGTGGCCAAAAATAAGCATTTTTGTAACTTCCAGACATAACTTGTGTGTTAGTGTATGGATCTCTCTGACATTGTACCACAAGGTTCCATATCACAAAAGGAATGCTGGGATTGATTTTGGGGGTAATTGCCTCAAAATTTTAGGAATTAGGGGCCGAAAAAGGGGCAAAAAACGAGCATTTTTCTAGTTTCATGACAATAACTAGTGTGTAAGTGTATGGATCTTTCTGAAATTGTACTACAAGGTTCCATATCACAAAGGGAAAGCTGGAATTCATTTTGGGGGTAATTGCTTCAAAATTTTAGGAATTAGGGGCCAAAAAAGGGGCAAAAAACAAGCATTTTTCTAGTTTCAGGACAATAACTTGTGTGTAAGTGTATAGATCTTTCTGAAATTGTACTACAAGGTTCCATATCACAAAGGGAAAGTTGGGTTTGAGTTTGGGGGTGATTGCCAATGTTGCCAAGTGACATGATATTCGCGTGTAATACACGCTTTTTCAATGGTTTACACGCGAGGATTTTGTCACATGGCGTGTACACGCTTTTCACCACTTTACACGCAATTACACGCTTTTTCGTTGTTTTGATTTTTTGGTCGATAGTGATATCGCGATTCTCGGGTTTTTTCATTAGTAGACGATAAATACCGAAAATTCCAAAGTAATTGTTAAGACGCCATTGTTTTTTTTTTATCATGATGGACTAACCATGCTAACAGCAAAGGTTCTTAAAGGTAAGTTGGTTTGTGATTAGTTTTTACGATTTTGTGACGATCTTTCTTTCAAATTCACTTAGGGGAAATGTCCACAGAAAGAGGTCGCTTTCAGGGCCTGTACCGTCGTCTAGAGAGCCGATTGCTAAGCGAAAACGATGTGTGCGTACCAAGTCCAAGATATATAAATAAAACAGTTCGAGTTTAAATATCGAGGGACGAGTAACGCATTGTGCACCCTGTGTTGCAATCATAACAATACATGTGAGAGGGGAACTATGTAGCTATTTGATTAAACATTTAACATGTTTTATCAATACTAGAATGGTAATCAAATTATAAAATATTTTTTCTTTTTTCAGTTTCCAATCTAGCCAACGGCAACGGATTTCCACAGGCCATAGGGGATGGAAATATCACGGAACTGTTGGATCAGTTCTCATAGTACCAGCTGTCTTCTGATGAACTACCCAGTTTGACCAGGCAATAGCAACATATATAGTTTGTTGGGAGCAATGGCAGAGATTAAAGATGACATTTTTGATGGCAAAAAAACGTTATGACACTCTTTCAAAGCATGATAAAGCTATTTTAGTTCAGCCAAATATCAATTCTGACTGTCAGAGAGCATTTTCAATTATAAAGAAATTCACACTGAATTCTGATCAGAACTTGACAATGATATATTGTGTGCCTTGTTATCAAGTAAATGTAACCAAACTGGCAGTTGTTTTGAATATGTGCCTAGTGGTGTTGCTTTAAAAGCAGCAAAACAGACCACTGTTGAATACAATAAAAGTTTACAGTTGAATATTGTTTCTTGTATTTAATAACAAATTTGTATAATGTGAAATTATGAACATTGTTCACATTAAAAAGTTCGCATCTAAGTCACGCGTTTTCACACGCTTTTTGACATGTCATGTCATGTCATTACATGATTTCTCATTGTCAGAGGTTGGCAAGTATGGTGATTGCCCTAAACGTTTAGGAATTGGGGGCCAAAAAGGGGCCAAAAATAAGCATTTTACTAGTTTCCAGACAATAACTTGTGTTCAAGTGTATGGATCTCTCTGAAATTGTACTGCAAGGTACCATACCACAAAGGGAAGGCTGGGATTGATGATGGGGGTAATTGTCTCAATATTTTAGGAATTAAGGGCCAAAAAGGGGCAAAAAACAGGCATTTTTCTAGTTTCAGGACAATAACTTGTGTGTAAGTGTATGGATCTTTCTGAAATTGTACTACAAGGTTCCATATCACAAAGGGAAAGCTGGGTTTGAGTTTGGGGGTAATTGCCCAAAACGTTTAGGAATTTGGGGCCAAAAAGGGGCCAAAAAACACATTTTTCTAGTTTCCAGACAATAACTTGTGTTCAAGTGTATGGATCTCTCTAAAATTGTACTGCAAGGTACCATACCACAAAGGGAAGGCTGGGATTGAGTTTGGGGGTGATGAATCATAAGGGGGTGCAAAAAATTTTGGGGGGGATTTTTTTTTTTTTTTCCTTTTTTTTTCTTTTAAAATTTTCCATTTTAAGTTGGTTATTTCCGATTTATATTTAAAAGCAAATAATAATGATATGGTAGGAGATACACACCAAACAGGATGTGTAAATTATTATATAATAAGTATTGTGCAATAGCAAGAAATTTTCAATTGCACAGTATTGCACAATAGCAAGAAATCTTCAATTGCACAGTATTGTGCAATAGCAAGAAATCTTCAATTGCACAGTATTGCACAATAGCAAGAAATATTCAATAGCACAATATTGCGCAATAGCAAGAAATTGTCAATTGTACAGTATTGCGCAATAGCAAGAAATATTTAATTGCACAGTATTGTGCAAAAGAAGATACTTCGTATAAATTGCTTATTTCTTGACCAATTTCAATGGGGTTTTATTCTTGAATTCTTGGGGTTCTTTAATATGCTGAATCTAACCGTGTATTTAGTTTTTGGATTTTGGGCCCCGTTTTTAAATTGGTCCACATTGAGGTTCAAAGGGTCCAAAATTAAACTTTGTTTGATTTCATCAAAAATTGAATTATTGGGGTTCTTTGATATGCCGAATCTAACCGTGTATTTAGATTCTTAATTTTTGGTTCCGTTTTCAAATTGGTCTACATTAAGGTCCAAAGGGTCCAAAATTAAACTTAGTTTGATTTTAATAAAAATTGAATTCTTAGGGTTCTTTGATATGCTGAATCTAAACATGTATTTAGATTTTTGATTATGGGCCCAGTTTTCAAGTTGGTCCAAATCGGGGTCCAAAATTAAACTTTGTTTGATTTCAACAAAAATTGAATATATAGGGTTCTTTGATATGCTGAATCTAACCATGTATTTAGATTTTTGATTTTTGGGCCCCGTTATCAACTTTGTCCACATTGAGGTCAAAAGGGTCCAAAATTAAACTTTGTTTGATTTCATCAAAAATTGAATTCTTGGGGTTCTTTGATATACTGAATCTAACCATGTATTTAGATTTTGGATATTGGACCATAATAGGTGAATGTCCAATTTAAAATTTTTAAGTTCTTAGACCACATTCATTCTGTGTCAGAAATCTATGCTGTGTCAAATATTTAATCACAATCCAAATGCAAAGCTGTATCAAGCTTGAATGTTGTGTCCATACTTGCCCCAACTGTTCAGGGTTCGACCTCTGCGGTCGTATCAAGCTGCGCCCTGCGGAGCTTTTTATTGTCACTTATATTGATGATTATCATTTTATATTTACTAACCCATCCTGCACTTTTTTTCACACTCTTCAGGGCAATAAATTACATTTGAAGATATTTATAGACTGTGTCCAAGTGTAAAGTTTTTTCCAAAATCTTGTTCAGATCAAGGCATACAAAAGTATGAAATTTCTTTTTTCTATAACTGCTTACAAATAAATAGTTGATACTTATGGGGAAATATTACTGATATATATCAGGGGGGGGGGGGGGGGGAAATCACTATCTTTTCACAAAGGCTTGTCTATGTCTTTGATTTTATCTTTCATATCAAGGAGAAATGGTATGATTTACACATGTCACTCAAACTCACATTTGATTAGTATTTTTTTATTATGACAGTAGTTATGACAGAACTTGTGCTTTTATTAGGGAAACAGTAAAGGTTAAAAAAATTTGAACGGCAACATTTGTTAATACCAAGCATGAAAACATAGATTTTAAATTCACTGAGCCCTTTGCTGTTAATAATGCATACATTTTTTTTGATAGAGCTTTTTATAGTAAAGGCTTCATGTTTTGTAGGGAAACAGGAGAATATTTCCACAATTTTTTAACATGGCAAGATCTAAGGGCAAGGGATACAGTGAAAAATTGGAATAGTTCATACAAGATGAAGGTAACTATACATCAATTGAATTGGACAATAGAGGATGATTTTAAAGAAAACATGCATATACAATATTAGGTCAATGTCAGAAAAATATCACTTTTTTGTATGAGGATTAGAAATTGTGGAAGGATGAGGTTTGCCAAGCCCTTTTTCAGTTTTCAGTTTCAAGCTGAATACAAAAAAATTGATAATTTTTCTGAAATTGATCTAATATAGCTTTCTATACTGCAGTTAAAATGGATTTAATTTGAGCCATGAAAATGTGAACACAAGAATTAAACTATTTTTTTATTCCTACACAAACCGCGATTAGTGATGAAACAAGATGTGACATGAAATCAACATTGCACGAAATATCAATTTCTTACTCTATTTGGTAGATAAAGACAACAGGAAGTGTTCAAGCTGTAGTATAAAAATAATTATGTTGCCTTTAATTTTAGATGATAAATTAAGACAAATTTCAAGTATACAATATCTCAAAATGAACAAAACTTCTTATTTCAACTGTATACTTCTAGTTTATTCTCATCTTTTGTGAGTTTTGACCAATTGCTAATATATTGACCAATCTATGAGTATCATTTTAAGAAAAATATAGATCTGATAAAAATGTGTAAATTTTGTGATGGAGGCTATTTACCTTTCAATTATATATTGACATGTATGTATACAACATGATTCATTTTAATCTTTTTATATAATATACAACTAATTAACACTGTCTGGTTTCAGTTTCTAAATAGTGGGTCATCAATACTTCACACATTTACAAGACAAAAGAGATTCTTAGCTGCCAGTGTTTTAAAATTCATGTCTCCTCAGGTATGTTAAATTGATATTCACATAAAAAGGATACATGTATATGAGGAGGATAAGTAAGACAACAAATCACTTGAAAAAACATTTAAGAAATAGAAAATATAGACTGTGCAATGGGTTTTGCTCATTGTTGAAGGCCATACAGTGACCTATAGTAAACTTTTATGTAACTTGGTCTCTGGTGGAGAGTTGTCTCATTGGCAATTATACCACATCTTCTTATTTTTATATTGTATTTATCTAATGATATTTGTTACAAGCAGATGCTATAAATGGCTTAAAAAAACATTACAGTTCAAAAAAGATGGCCTCATATTAAAATAACGATGAATTTGATACATGAACAAGCAGTCTAAAAGACATGATAGTCATTGACATACTTTCCCGACATTTGAACATGTACAGTAATGGTGGTCAGTTATTTAAAACAATGGAAATTTATCTTCAAGGGTTATGGATTTTGTGAAATTACGAGAAGACAAAATATATAGTATACTTAGTGTCAATGTTTGATAATTTTTTCATGAATGCAGTCAATATTGTCTGTTTTAGACATGTATAATTGTATTGGTACCAAAAGACAAAACTGAAACTAAAATATACAATAGAAAAGTTGATTTTAACTGTACTATCACAAGCTTCCCTTTTCCAGATAATGATCTTCCTCCAGCTGTATCCTATGATTAGAAGATTTTACAACATGTATTTGATATGCTAAAATATGTTATAATGCAATTGACTTGAAAAAGCAAAATCTCCCATTAACACAAAAGTTACATTTTTTTTATGCCCCCGCCGTCACTGGAGGGGGCATTAATTGTTACCCTTGTCCGTACTTACGTTGGGATGTACGTTTGGAAAGACAGACGTACGTACAGACAAGGGTAACGATTAATTCCCCCTCCAGCAGGGGTTGATGATGTTGTCCGTACGTACATCTGTCTGTCCGAATGTACATCCCGAAATTGGTTTCCGTTCTCTAACTTTTGTTTGCCTCAACCAAATGTTATGAAACTTATACACAATGCTTATTACCACAAAACACAATTATGAATTTGGGTGGCGTCACTTTAACCATTCTTGAGTTATGCCCCTTTAAAAGGTTTTATGCAAGAAGGGGCATCATCTGTGTCCCACGGACACATTCTTCATTTACTTTTTTTCTCTTTTTTTGCCATGGCGTTGTCAGTTTATTTTTGACTTATGAGTTTGAATGTCCCTTTGGTATCTTATGCTTCTCTTTTACTTTTAATGAGTTACAGAGCAATGATTTCTTTTCAATTACAGTTAAATAGGCTATCATTTCTAATGATTTGACAATTTAAATTATTAACTATCCTCTTACAAATACTGGCAAAGTCAATTAAATTTTGTGAGATGACATCATGAAATCTGCTTAGTATTTTTTTCTGATTTTTGGTTTTTGTCTTCTTGAGCAGCAGTATCAGGATCTATCAGCCAATGACTTATAGTACCAGCTCATTTTGACCCTTCTTCCAAATTATGTGTGCTCTTTTATTTCGTTGTTCATGTTAGTGGTCATCCTACATCCATATATAAAAGTGCAAGGAGCAGGGGTGTGACCATTCAGAATGTTCATAGTGCTGTATTACTGGTAAGGGTATTAGGCTTGAATTCTGAAAAGAACATCTGTAGTGATAGCTAAAGTCCATGTTAGTAGCATGCTGTCTTGTATAGATTGAAGAAACAGTTGTATACCTGCTAACTTTTCCCTGGTAGCAGTGCAAACTCATGTTGATACTTGACCTTGTTGACTTTTGTGCTTATAGCGGTGAAAACTGAGTTTGTGAATATTTACAATCTCCATTGATTATGTCTGCTGTTACTAGGTTAATGATGTTGTCAGTTGTGAAAAATATCCAGATTTTGTCTTCATCGTCATCATCTGGTTCATTGGTCAGTGTAAGATTTTTGTGATTAAGTCTGATTGTCAGTTACTATATAAGTAATCAGTTTACTACATTTTGTGTATAGAATGATTGTAAGATATGTATATCTGTGTGAGAGGGTTCATTTGACCTTAACCCCATTTTCATGTTTCAGTGGTCAACCTTAAGTTTTTGTGAGTCAACATCTTGGATACATTACTATAAGTAATAGATCAATTATATTCGGTGTACAGTTCTATAATGATTGTCAGGTGTACATCTGTCTGACAGAGTTCATATGACCTTGACTGCATTATGATTGATTGTTTATACTGTTAAGTTATGAAACCTGTTCACCTTGATCTTTTTTGACACAGCATCTGTATGGCATTTATTAAGTGTATGCTTAAAATAATTCACAGAATTGATTAACTAAAAATAGTGATGTCTATATATTTATTTTCCCTTACTTCTGTTTGTAAATAACAACATGAGCTGACTGCCTTACAATAAGTGAAGTATATTATTCATGTTTTCTATTGGTCCAAGGACACAGTTATCGTCCTTTGGTTTTCGTTGTCTACGAATATAGTCCCTAGTGTGAACAGTGTATAACTTGCATTTTTTTTTGATACACTTTCCCAATTTATTTCTTGATATTTTATGCATGAAATATTAAGTAAGGGGATGAAATTACATGTTAAAAAAATTTGGGTGCTGAATCTTTATGTTAAGTAGTGATTTGGTCCAGTTAAAAAAGGTCAAAAATTAGAATGTCGGAAGCTGTCAAACTGAATTTTAGCCCCCCTTAACACAGAATTGTCAATATTTTGAGTTAGAGCTGGTAGAAGTTTCTATAATTTTGATATTATTTGTATCAATAGTAGTACACTACACTGTAAAAATCTTTTTGAGATAGAGCAGGTGCGATTTTTTTAATTTAAATTTATTGTCTAAAAGAAATGCACTACGAAATAACTGTGTTCTCGGGCCTAAGAGATGAATTCCGTAAATGTAGATTCTGTACTTTGGCAACTTTCCTGAATGGTTTTCTGGTTTCAATTTGTCAAACTCAATAAAAGTAAAGGATTTACATCTTTGTTTGACAGAAATTCTGTTAAAATGTCCCATTTTGGCATTATACGGCTAAAATAAGCATTTTAAAGCAGTTTCCATTTTATGCCTAAGAGCCATGCTGACTTTCTATCTGACAGCTTTTTATGTTCCTGATATTTGTGTTTCTATGCTTAAATCAAATTTAATTAACCATTTGTGAACTCGGAATCTAGAGAAAAGTAGATTATCACAGAAAAAATGTGCAGAATATTTGTATTTATGTCCCTGGTTAAACGGCCTGTTTGATGTATGTGAAATGTGAAGAGCTTTGTACATAAAATCTGTAGTCCGTCACAAATATTTCACTAAATCTGTAAAAAAAACACTTTACAATGATCAGTACACCCTATTCATTTCATATGCTACCATAATTTTGTTCTTTAGGATAGTAAGTGGTTCAAATATATGCCAAATGAGACTAAAACTACATGCAAGTTTTCCATTGAAAAGTGAAAAACTGGTCATCAGACCATACTGTCTGCAAAAAAAAGTTGAATTCAAGAGTCCTTTTGCAATTAGACTTCTTGTATCATGACATCTTAGCATAGAAATGAGCAAAAAGTAACAAATTTCAATTCCTTATAGCCTCTGTGTGCATTTTTATATGTAAATATGGGCTACAGCCTAAATCGACTCTAAATAATTCTCAGTCTTACATGGCCTAAGACCATTTTATACTCATGTGGTATGCTTTTTGTAACTTTTCTTTACATTTAAAGTACATTTAATATATATGGAAGAATAATGTATGGTTAAAAACCTTCAAAAACTTCAAATTGGTTGAAAAAAATGCATGTTTATGTAAGGCTTCCCTTAATTCGAAAATCTCTATTTTCAGGCACAGGCTCATATAAATTTGACTTTTGAATAACTGTAATAAATCTGATAAATCAAATGAGTGTTCCGTTGCTTTTAATACTTATTATATCAAATTCAAGAGTATTTAAAAAGCAAATTTTTGCAATATTTAAATTTTTTAGGCCAAAATCTTGACAGTTGAAAATATTTGATTTAAACGTCAAAAATAAGCATCCAAATTTCAATATTAAAATGGCCCTAGTTTCTATGATATATATCCTATGGCCATGAAACTTGGCCAACTATCTTAAAATTGCCTAAGCTTAGGTCATGCAAAGTTTTATTAAAATTGGTCAAGTCTTTCTATCCTATTAGGTCCAAGGACACAGTTATCGTCCTTTGGTTTTCGTTGTCTACGAATATAGTCCCTAGTGTGAACAGTGTATAACTTGCATTTTTTTTTGATACACTTTCCCAATTTATTTCTTGATATTTTATGCATGAAATATTAAGTAAGGGGATGAAATTACATGTTAAAAAAATTTGGGTGCTGAATCTTTATGTTAAGTAGTGATTTGGTCCAGTTAAAAAAGGTCAAAAATTAGAATGTCGGAAGCTGTCAAACTGAATTTTAGCCCCCCTTAACACAGAATTGTCAATATTTTGAGTTAGAGCTGGTAGAAGTTTCTATAATTTTGATATTATTTGTATCAATAGTAGTACACTACACTGTAAAAATCTTTTTGAGATAGAGCAGGTGCGATTTTTTTAATTTAAATTTATTGTCTAAAAGAAATGCACTACGAAATAACTGTGTTCTCGGGCCTAAGAGATGAATTCCGTAAATGTAGATTCTGTACTTTGGCAACTTTCCTGAATGGTTTTCTGGTTTCAATTTGTCAAACTCAATAAAAGTAAAGGATTTACATCTTTGTTTGACAGAAATTCTGTTAAAATGTCCCATTTTGGCATTATACGGCTAAAATAAGCATTTTAAAGCAGTTTCCATTTTATGCCTAAGAGCCATGCTGACTTTCTATCTGACAGCTTTTTATGTTCCTGATATTTGTGTTTCTATGCTTAAATCAAATTTAATTAACCATTTGTGAACTCGGAATCTAGAGAAAAGTAGATTATCACAGAAAAAATGTGCAGAATATTTGTATTTATGTCCCTGGTTAAACGGCCTGTTTGATGTATGTGAAATGTGAAGAGCTTTGTACATAAAATCTGTAGTCCGTCACAAATATTTCACTAAATCTGTAAAAAAAACACTTTACAATGATCAGTACACCCTATTCATTTCATATGCTACCATAATTTTGTTCTTTAGGATAGTAAGTGGTTCAAATATATGCCAAATGAGACTAAAACTACATGCAAGTTTTCCATTGAAAAGTGAAAAACTGGTCATCAGACCATACTGTCTGCAAAAAAAAGTTGAATTCAAGAGTCCTTTTGCAATTAGACTTCTTGTATCATGACATCTTAGCATAGAAATGAGCAAAAAGTAACAAATTTCAATTCCTTATAGCCTCTGTGTGCATTTTTATATGTAAATATGGGCTACAGCCTAAATCGACTCTAAATAATTCTCAGTCTTACATGGCCTAAGACCATTTTATACTCATGTGGTATGCTTTTTGTAACTTTTCTTTACATTTAAAGTACATTTAATATATATGGAAGAATAATGTATGGTTAAAAACCTTCAAAAACTTCAAATTGGTTGAAAAAAATGCATGTTTATGTAAGGCTTCCCTTAATTCGAAAATCTCTATTTTCAGGCACAGGCTCATATAAATTTGACTTTTGAATAACTGTAATAAATCTGATAAATCAAATGAGTGTTCTGTTGCTTTTAATACTTATTATATCAAATTCAAGAGTATTTAAAAAGCAAATTTTTGCAATATTTAAATTTTTTAGGCCAAAATCTTGACAGTTGAAAATATTTGATTTAAACGTCAAAAATAAACATCCAAATTTCAATATTAAAATGGCCCTAGTTTCTATGATATATATCCTATGGCCATGAAACTTGGCCAACTATCTTAAAATTGCCTAAGCTTAGGTCATGCAAAGTTTTATTAAAATTGGTCAAGTCTTTCTATCCTATTAGGTCCAAGGACACAGTTATCGTCCTTTGGTTTTCGTTGTCTACGAATATAGTCCCTAGTGTGAACAGTGTATAACTTGCATTTTTTTTTGATACACTTTCCCAATTTATTTCTTGATATTTTATGCATGAAATATTAAGTAAGGGGATGAAATTACATGTTAAAAAAATTTGGGTGCTGAATCTTTATGTTAAGTAGTGATTTGGTCCAGTTAAAAAAGGTCAAAAATTAGAATGTCGGAAGCTGTCAAACTGAATTTTAGCCCCCCTTAACACAGAATTGTCAATATTTTGAGTTAGAGCTGGTAGAAGTTTCTATAATTTTGATATTATTTGTATCAATAGTAGTACACTACACTGTAAAAATCTTTTTGAGATAGAGCAGGTGCGATTTTTTTAATTTAAATTTATTGTCTAAAAGAAATGCACTACGAAATAACTGTGTTCTCGGGCCTCTTTATTAGGTCCAAGGACACAGTTATCGTCCTTTGGTTTTCGTTGTCTACGAATATAGTCCCTAGTGTGAACAGTGTATAACTTGCATTTTTTTTTGATACACTTTCCCAATTTATTTCTTGATATTTTATGCATGAAATATTAAGTAAGGGGATGAAATTACATGTTAAAAAATTTGGGTGCTGAATCTTTATGTTAAGTAGTGATTTGGTCCAGTTAAAAAAGGTCAAAAATTAGAATGTCGGAAGCTGTCAAACTGAATTTTAGCCCCCCTTAACACAGAATTGTCAATATTTTGAGTTAGAGCTGGTAGAAGTTTCTATAATTTTGATATTATTTGTATCAATAGTAGTACACTACACTGTAAAAATCTTTTTGAGATAATGCAGGTGCGATTTTTTTAATTTGAATTTATTGTCTAAAAGAAATGCACTACGAAATAACTGTGTTCTCGGGCCACCTTATGTAATTTTTAGGTTGTAAAAAATTGTGAAATTGAAATTTGCTACTTTTTAGGTAACCATGCGACTGTTATGGTGTTTAGAACATGTTGAAAAGGTAAGAAATTATTACTGAATAATGAGGGAATTTGTTTATGAGATTCAAATTGCTCATCTTAATGGAGCTTAAAAATGGATCACATTCAGAAATCTTTAGGGGTGTTTTTCTTAGAAATATAAATTACATGGAAAATTATCTTGTTAACACTCTCATCCTTATGTTTCAGTGTGGATTTTAATGAGAAATGTCTACAAATTGTAATATCAACAACCTTGTGATGATTAAAACAAATTTTAAAAAAATAATAATTTTTTTCATAGATTTGTACATTGCCTGTCTAAGGGTCATTTGAAGCAATTTCTTTTTTAGTTAAAAATAAAATTGAACATGAATTGGTTTACCTTGTGAATTTTTATTGTATGGTTTTTGTGATGTTTCTTACATTCTCTGTTTTATTCACTTATGTATACCGTGGATGGGGATATTGAAATGCAGTAATATTCAATTATTACCTTTTGAATGAACAAAGTAGTTCTAAAATATGACTTCCATTAACCTTTAGAATGTTTTTAGTTAAAAGCTAGAGTGGTTGAGAATCAAGTGATGTTTGGCTGTATAGAAACATGGTTGTTATGGAAACTTACTGGAGGCAAAGTTCATGCTACAGACTATTCGTGTGCTAGTGGAACAGGTCTTTTTGATCCTTTCCAGGTGAGTGATTTGTACTTTAAAACAATTTTTGTTTGAAATGAAACTTTACTGTGCCTTATTGAATTTAGCCTTGCACAACAAATTGTTATATTACATTCTGTTTGAAATCCTATCTGGACACAATTTAAACTTTTTCTTGTTATTTTAAGTAAAAAAAAAAATTATCACATGCATCAAAATACATCCAAAGTTTGTTGAAAGATGTAACAGATGCAACCAGATGTGACTACTATTCTGAATCAGACCAGTCCAATACACCTTTTTTGTATTGACCCTTTGGTTGAAAAGCTGTATTAACATCTAGGTCAAGATGCGTAATTCATTTCCCATAGGCGACAATGGTAGCCTTTTTTTCCATTCCTCTATCCATATAGTAAACTAGGATATGTATGATGGTTTGTTTCGAAGCTGAGACATTTTCACACATATGGTTAAATTTTCGAGGTACAAAGTGAGATTAATCTTTTCACAAATTGGGCATCCCCGAAAGGCCCCGCATGATACCGCTTCAGCAAGTGAAAAGTCCTTATTTTCACACAGTTGAATTCTCTGGATATTCAGTTCTGTACAAACATTTAATAACTTCAAAGTTTTTACATCTTTATTGTACAGTCTCCTTCTCTTCAAAAAGCACAAATGGTTAAGCTCAGTCAATTACTAAAAATAGCATCATATCCAATTTCATTGCATACAGGTTTTTTTATTTCTATTTATAGTTAAATTCCTCACTCTGAGGTCAATAGGGATATTAACCCATCTGCTAGACAAGGTATAAGTATTGAACATGCCAATTTAACTGGATTAGGGTTTATTTGATCAATTCATTAAACACTCTACATTTTTAAAAACTGATGAATATGTCTGTCTGATATATGTCAGGTGGTTTAGACCTCATTTTTCTCACTTCAGTAACCAGGTCAAGTTTTCAGGATTAAGTTAATAATGTTCCTCAGTAACTATACATGGAGAGAGAACTTTTGTTTGTATGTTAACAGATGAAATACCTCAAAACACTCAAACAGTCTAAAATAATGCATCGGTTGAAAAACAGGAAATGTGCGTTGGTATGCTTAAGGAATAATTATTATTGAAAATAATAAATATGTTTTTCATCACAATTATATTTTTTAGACATTACGATGATTTAATTAGATATTCAGTACAATTGTTATTTTACAGGTAGAATGGAGTACAATAGTGTGTAATCTACTGAACATTCCAATGTCTATATTCCCAACAGTAATGGATACAAGGCAGGTTTATTTTTTAATAATTGTATGTTGTAGTTAACTATATCGTGAAATTCTAGCAGTGAAGTATATGCAATTAACAAAATACTGAACTCTTATATAGGACTAAAACAAATATCCAGTAAACATGGCAAAAATGTGTGTCTGTTGGTTGATTCCTAAATATTTCAAATCTTAAATAAAAAGTGACTACACCAGGGCTTCCAAAAAATATTTGTGTCAGCCGGACATATTTTTTGGTCTTATCCCGATTTTAATCCCTTAAGACTTAGCAACAAAAGGCAACCATAGTAATCAGTTGGGCATCATATAAATTATGATTGACACAAACACGATATTTAACTTTTTATTATAAATTCGATGTTCTGCCGTTAATTGTTAAATTGACAGTGCACCGTTCGAAGTGTGCAACATCAGCGTACTAATATCTGCCTTAGACTCTTTATTTGTGCAAAGTTACGCTGTCAATAACTTCACTTTCGTTTTTAAAAAGTACATTCTAATACCGGATGTTGACTTGACAATGGTAAAACACGGTCCAGAGACGGATACATAAAATCTGTGTACATTTACAAAGCACTATTGAGTTAAAGTAGCTCTTTCCATGTTATTTCTGCAGGAAAATACTCAAAATGAACGTTAGATAAAGGCATCAATGATATTTTTAGAATTTTTGAAAATTTGGATTCATAATTAAATCTCACACCTATGTGCACGAGTCTACTAGTTCAAACAATGTGGTTCTGACGATTTTTCACTTAAAACCTTTATTACTACCTTTTAAAATTTTCATCAAATCATATTTATATACGTTTTCTGATAATCTAATTCTTGTTGACTAAATTAATTAGATGCAAACCGCTCAAAATTAAGAAAATAACTTTTAATAGACAGATCAATGTCCGGTACAAAATAGATTACCTGTTGTCTGGACAGGAAAATTCATCTGTCAGAGAACTAATTAACCTTGATTGTAATCAGAGGGTATTAAAGTTGGGTTTGTTTTGATAGTAATTATTCATCATGTCACGTAGAGGATCAGAAATGTGTGGCTGTTTAAGGCAAAAGGTCAGGTCAAAAAGATCGCATAAACTTCAATTTTTATTCCTGAATTATGTTAAAATGTCCATTTTAGCCTATGCACAACAAGTCATTTATATAATTTATCGGACAATACAACCGTTTTAGAAGCCCTGGACTACACAGACTTTCAGACACTCGAAAGTTGCTACTTCTTTTGGAATGAATTACCACCAAAATTGTTCTGCAAAACTATGAATTTTAATTATTTTTCTCTACAAAACAGCTGGTTCCAGGGTTGCAGGAAATAAGAAATGTCCAAATCAAAATTGATGGTTTCCTGTTTGAACATTGTCTTCTTCTTTTCATCAAATTCAATTTTTTGAGATCACATCAGTGATTTCTAATCATCTAACCTTTGTAAATATGCTTTCTTAACCATCAAAAATGAAACTGTTATTTGATCTAGTTTTACTTTGTAATCATTTATATATGTGTAAATTTATTGCAAAGATAAAATAGCTTTTATTTTATTTTACACAGCTCTGTGTTTGTTATTGAAACTCTAAGATGAAAATGGTTTAAATGAAAAATATTAACGATTTCCATTTTTAGTGGCTTTTTTGGTGATACAGATCCATGCATATTTGGAGAATCTATTCCAATAACTTCTGTGGTAAGTTTGATTAAGAAAATTAGGATTGATAATTAATTCTCATATCTGTTTGTATAAGTTTTTGATTGGTATTTGTCAACAAGCCAAATTTTTAATTATGTCAGAAATTGTTCTCAGTTGGTGTGATTACCCAGAGTTTATAATTCCTATCAGAACTTCCTTGTTTTTTGCTTACAATAAAGCTACCGGAGCAAGGGTTCTTAATAGTAAATTTGTTGAATTCATCTCTTTTGAATATCTTTTGTCTGCAAGAATCACTTGGTTGACCATTTCCAAAAATATCTTTGCCACAAATGACTATGGGTATGTTCCTTTTGTCACAGTCACAATCTCAGCCCCATCTGAACATGGAATACAATAGAGTGGATCTAGCAGTAGAAAATACTAATTTCAAAGTCTTTCATTTGACCCACCTTGGGATGGAAACCATGAACTTGTGCACTCTAGATGAGCATGCTACCCAAGACATCTCAGAATTGAGTTTATACAGTCTAAGGAGTACAGTTAAATGGGAATTGACACATGAATTATAATGAAAGAAACAAAACGACAAAGGATTTCTATGTTTATGAAATTTTTTTTACAATATACTAAGGATGCCTTTATTTTCATTGGTACCAATTTTCGTTGATTAAGGAACTACTGTTTTTTAGTGGATACTTGATTTCCCCGGTTTTCACAGTTACAGGTCTGTAGTAAATATGTACTTCATTGAATATGAACTTCATGATTCACCTGTACCAATGAAATCTACAAAAAAATTAAAAATGATAATGAATCCACAGAAGTTTTGGAAATTACTTATTTTCAAACTCCTAAATATCTTGAAATTTTGTTAAGCATTTCAGATAGTGAAAATAGACAAGATTCCAATACCTCAGTTGACCTGGGAAACGTATCATAGGACATTGTGTCGTGAAGATATTTGCTGTGTGACGTCAAATTATTCCTAGGAAAAAGCACCATTTGGAAGATCATTTATTGATAATCACATATCTGTCAATGACCCTTATTTTTCAGGTCACACCTGGGAATTTAAGAGCTTACCCAAGATTTTTCTATACCCAGGCCATCAAATAACCCTTGATTCCATCAAAGTACCCGTTTTCACTGGTATGCTAGTGCCATGAGACTTCCAATGTCTAAAATGCTATATTTTCCACTGAAAAACAGCAGATTTGAAATTCTTTCTGGACAGGAAGTTCGATAATTTGCTCTCAAATGAATGATTTACAGCTACATGTATCAAAGCATAATTTTGACACGCTTTTGATTGAATGGTAATAACAGTTTGCTAATTATATGGTTAATTGTACCCCAAAAAGGTTGAAGCCAATCAAGCTTGACATACAATTTCATGTCCTGATTTATATATTTGCCGTTTGCAAATATCAATTATCCTATTAAAATAATTTTAAAACAGTCTGAACCTCTTTATTCTTATCAGGAAAGTGGTGTAAAACACCAATCAATCAAATCAGATTATACATATCTGTTAGAGTGATAAAAGTCCCTAAACTATTTTTCACCGTTTATTTTTGTTGTCACTTAAAATCCAAGTGCTCTAGAATGTAAACAACATTAAATTGTTCTTTCTATTTATCTTCCTACTATTTATAGGAGCTTTAGCTGATTTCTTATTATAGTTGGGGTTCATTAGAATCATTGATTAAAAAACCCAGTGTGAATGAAACAATAAAAGGGCATTGCTTTATATTGATATTTGATTAATAACAAATACAATGAAGGTAAAATGAAAACATAAATTGAAAATTTAAATAGTTTTCATCAAATACTTCAAAATTGTGAATATTTATAGGAAACTGGTATATGTTAAATAATGTTTAAAAAAGATCTTTAGTAATACTAAAATTCAAATGAAAAAAGTTTGTACACGTTATGACCTGACTTTTTCTTCCTCAATGCCGGTCATGACCTGTTTTTTTCATTTTCAGAGGTTGACAGGTATGTCATCACATTTCAGTTTAAGATCCAATATTTACCTTATATTCTGTATCCTCCTTTGTAGCAATGTTTATGTACCACCTATGATAGTGGGGACTAGGGCATTAAGTTGTACAGTCCATGCTTTTGTCCATCTATTAGTTTGTTTGTCTGTCGGCCCATACTGTATCAGGTTGAAGTTTTGGGTTAAGGTAGTTTACCATGGAGTCGTGGTTACTTCAACTTTAAACCTAGTACATATGTTCATTATGATGTCAGCTTCTTGAAATATATGCCAAATTAGGGTTTGGAACCAGAACACATATTCTTGTTTTATATATTTGCTTTAAAACAGTATTTTTACTTTCAATTATCCTAACGAATAAACTATGTCACTTAGTGCCAAATGCCAATGCATTATTTTCTTTTCTTTTTTTAACACATGCTAATGAAATATTTCAATACATTTCAATTGTCATAAAAGTTTCTAGTAAAAACCTTCCCAAAGAATCATTTTACATTGGAACTCTAGATATATATGATGTCATGTTGTTTTAATGATGTCATGTTGTTTTTATGATATCATGTTGTTTTATGATGGCCTGTTGTTTCTATGATGTCATGTTGTTTTTATGATGGCATGTTGTTTTAATGATGCTTGTGTTGTTTTTATGATGTTCATGTTTCCAAGTCATTAACATCATTTTGCAAAATGTAATTTTTTGCAGTTTTATGCCTAAGTCTAAAGCTAAATGAAATATTTCATTTAGTACAAATATATTTCAATTGTCATAAAAGTTTCAAGTAAAAACCTTCCCAAAGAAACATTTTACATTGGAACTCTAGATATATGGGTCATTTTAAAAAAATGTCGAATTTTCAGTACACCCATGCTAAAATTTTTATTTCTAATGGAAAATGCAGTTGTAAGTGTTTAAATGAAAGTTTGTAGGATTTATGAGTCAGAACATTAATAATAAACATGATTTAGATCTATTTTGATAAGATTAAAATATGTTTAAGTCCAATTTTTGCGTAATTTATGTGCGTACAGTGTCCGAGTAACACATTTCAAATGATTTTTTTCCTATTTTCTGATCGCCTTGATATCTGCAAAAGGGACTTTTTTGGAACGTAAATAATAATTCTAACGAAAAATCGTAGCTTCTTTCTTATTATATGTAACATTTTTTCTACAAACTAAATTCAATCAGAGTACATGAAGTTCATGTCCATCCTGTTACCGCTACTTAAATCAGCCGTTAAATTTTTCTCCCTATGAATATTGAACTAGTCAGTGTTGATTTCAAAAGCGCAAAGTAACCTAAACATTTAACACAGCACGTTTCTTGTATAACAGTGTAGAGAAAAGAAATTTCAAGACATTTAGTGAAAAAAATAGTGGGTACTTTTTTGTCATGTCTATGCTGTTACCAACATATTGATTAATTACACCAATATTATACTTGCAAAAAGTGCAATAATGTGTTGGAAACCAAAATCACAACAGAAAAACATTACCACTTCATCAAAGGGAGTAGTAATTTCACAACAGCATTTAAAACTGAAGAAATTTGTCTATCCTGTTACTATGGTTGCTATGGTTACAGTAACAGAATAGATAATAGTAGACAGAAACGTCTTTAAAAAGTTTATAATAACATATAGTTGCACACATAATGAAATGTTTTGTTGTTTGAACTCTTCTAAAGGTTATAATGTCTTTATCTTCGCAATTTAGCATTTGCAGGTGCAATACTGCTATCGGTAACAGGATAGACAAAAAGGTAACAGGATAGAACTTAATATAGTGATATATCATTAACGTACGTTCATGTTACCAATAAAATAAAGACAAAAGTAATCCAACGTGCGAGGGATTTACTTGATGTTGGGTTTATTTGAAAGAGAGAACAAATGCTGAACATTATGAATTGCTATCTTAGACTTGCATTACTGATGGTTATTTTTATCACCTTTGAAAACCAATTTTTAGAGGCATTTTCAGTACAACATGGAAAATTGGCAAATAATCTATTATTTCACAGAATGAATATATATAGAAGTTTTTACTCTTGAAAACCATCTTATTGGCTACGAAAAACAAACTTAAAATTTTATCGAAACTTTTTCTAAATAACCCGAAATTTCTTTTGAACATGGTAACAGGAGAGACAAAATATTGCACCACCTATCAAAAAATGTTTCAATATATTCTTGTATGACATTATCAAGATTGCATCTTTTTATATGTTGTTCTATAAGTACTGTTTGTTTTGATTTGCTTATGATGAGGGTTGTTTGAATAAGTAACTTTAAATCAATTTTGCAATTTCAAAATTGACATATTTTGAAAATGACCCATATATGATGTCATGTTGTTTAATGATGTCATGTTGTTTTAATGATGTCATGTTGTTTTTATGATGGCATATTGTTTTTATGATGTCATGTCGTTTTTTAATGGAATGATGTTTGTGTTGTTTTTATGATGTCATGTTGTTTTTATGATGTTTGTGTTGTTTTTATGATGTCATGTTGTTTTTATGATGTTTGTGTTGTTTTTATTATGTCATGTTGTTTTTATGATGGCATGTTGTTTTTATGATGTTTGTGATGTTTTTATGATGTCATGTTGTTTTTATGATGTTTGTGTTGTTTTAATGATGTCATGTTGTTTTTATGATGGCATGTTCTTTTTATGATGTCATGTTGTTTTTATGATGGCATGTTGTTTTTATGATGGCATGTTGTTTTTATGATGCTTGTGTTGTTTTTATGATGTTCATGTTTCCAAGTCATTAACATCATTTTGCAAAATGTAATTTTTTGCAGTTTTATGCCTAAGTCTAAAGCTAAATGAAATATTTCATTTAGTACAAATATATGAGTCATATATTACCTTAAACTGGAGATTACTCTTTTAAAAAGTTTACCTAGATAAGCTATTTATCATTTGTTAAAGGGGCCTTGGTGGCCGATAGATCTAAGTAGTCCAATTACTGTATCACTAGCCTGGTACAACTGAGGTTGTGAGTTCGAATCCCATATGTGGC